GGAATAATCATTTGATTTATTCAATTAATATCTCATTTTATATTGGTCTCAATACAATTTAATCAGCGGTTATCTTGTGGAGCTGCCTGTAATTTAGCTAAAATGACAAAGACCAGCAAAATTAATAATGCTTTTAAGTACAAACAATACAAATACATTTCAACACTTATTTGTAATTATTAGATATTTTAAAAGTGCTGTTACCATCTGTAATATCTTTTACATGTTTAGATTATTAAAGTTATGAAAGAAGTTTTAAGTATAGTAATAGTGTAGTTTTATTGTTAAACAGAATATTTGAGTTTTAATAAAATATAAAATTCATCTGGATACGAGTCCAAGTTTACTTGCCATGTCTAATCACCAGGAGCAACTATTTTTATTGCAGAGACAACCTTTCTTTAGAGGCTATGCCTCTGCACGAATATGTAAAACAGTTTAAAATGTCCACAGGTAATTCTGCCAGCCCATTTCTACAAACAAATATTATATTTTTAATTGTGTTGGGATTGTCACCTGTGGACATTTTAAACTGTTTTACATATTCGTGCAGAGGCATAGCCTCTAAAGAAAGGTTGTCTCTGCAATGGAAATAGTTGTTCCTGGTGATTAGACTTGGCAAGTAAACTTGGACTCGTATCCAGATGAATTTTATATTTTATTAAAATGTAATTCTGCCAGCCCATTTCTACATACAAATAGAATATTTGAGTTTAAATTTACATCAATGTATATGTATTTGCATCAATGTATATACAATGCATTTTCTTCCAGAAGAAATAATTAGAGAAACAGAAGCAATTGATGAAAAAACTAGAAGAATCATCAGTGCTCCCTTGAGTTATCCAAGATCAAGGGGCAATTCCAAATCAGTTTCATGATGGCCCTCAACATTGGTCAACACTAACTATAATCAGAGAATCTCCCAGAAAATAAAATTAAGAATTGAAATAGCAACTCTTCATATTAGTAAAAAAAAAAACAAGAGAGCAAAGGATTTAAAAAGAACATTTCACAGTCTGTCTGAATTAAAATCATGCTTAACTAACAAAAATATAAATGATTGGACAATGGTAAATACCGATTCAAATATTATTTTTGCCAATATAATTTTAATTCCACCTCCAACAATACAAAATCAACGATTGTTAATAGGCTGAAATATTTAGTCCTTTATCAAGGAAAGTGTTGTTAATAGGTGACACTATTTTACCATTTAAAACAAATAAATATCCTTGTGGAATTTCTTCGAAAATTAAAAAGTGTGTTCATCTGTTGATAATGTTAAACTATGTGATTATTTACTAATTATATAAGATTTATTAAATGAATTAAAAAAATTAAATGCAACTAATGAATCCAAACTATCCTTCCTTTCAGAACAAATATCAAAATTAAATTGCAATAAAATCATTAATTCTGCCATTCTGCAGAATTAATGATTTTCAGTAGTTGATCATATCCTATCTTACTATAGGCAAACAGAATTTTACTTAATTCAGTATCATAAATGCCCCATCCTTCTTTCATAAATAGAATTTGTTCTAAATTTAATGTAAATCCCACAAAAGATATGAATGGAAACTTTTATCATATGTAAAACTCAAATTTCTTGATTTAGATGAAAAGTAATTATATTGATGATAGATGAAATTTATCTAAAATAGGGTTACCAAATGTCCTACTTTGGGAGAACATGTCCTACAATTTGAACTTCAGTCCTCCATCCTTCCACCTTTGAACAAAAACAGCAATCTGCTATTAGTAGGATGAAGCAGCAGCTTTTTTTTTTTTACTAATGACTTCAAAAATGGATTTAGAGGCCACATGTTTGCATTATTGCTGAAGCAAAGTTAATTCCAGCTCCAGGTTCATATGTGTAAATGTAAAACAAGAACAACAATCCACAAGGTAATGTTAAGTCTGACTTTTCCTTTTTTGTATAACTTCATAAATGACAATTAAAATTAAAATAAAATCTGAATACTTAATGTAAAATGTTCATTACCATGTTAGGTAATGGTTTTTATTTGATTTCAATGTGAAATGACATGTTCAGCTGCAAATGAAATGAAAAAGTAAGCTGAAATTATTTTTTTATTTCCATCACTTGTTAAAACTTTACTTCAAAATATTATCTTAGAATCAGAATGAGTAGTAGATGGAAATGTAAATTTAATGAAAAACTTAATAATAATACTGTGTTTAAATTGTTTTTGATCTTTTGTGTTGGATTAAGTTAGTTTAGTAGTTTTTTTATTAGGTCTTAGTTACCTCTGGATAGACAGTTCCTCTATTGATAGTTCTGATGGTTCTGGGGCTGTGGGATAGGTTTGCACATCTCTCATTGGCATGCATTAAATTACAGGAGCTTCTGGACATAATTTTGGCCATCTTCCATTGCAATGCCTGGATGCTATACTTTCAACTGTCACAGGTAACGACTGTGATTCAATAAAGTAAAAATGTAGAATAATTATAACTTTACAATATTATTATTTTTCAAACTCTCCTCTTCTGTAATGTCTGACCGATTCCATTTCATTTGGAATGGGTCATGTCATTTATTTTTGATGACACAATTTTTGCACTTTGTTATCGTGTGGCTTTCTAGTGATTGTAGTAACATCTGGGTAGAAGATGGCAGCATTCCTATATGGAAGGAACACCATTTAAGAATTCACGATGCTGTTAATGGCTTATTTGGACTTGCTGTTCCTTCTCTAGCCACACTGATAGTGATGTCAACTCTCTTAATAAACTTATCGATGATGCAGTGCAGAAATAATTTTTAGACACTGTTAAGAAATTGGAAAAGGAAATTTCTGAACGGGTTTCTCAATGGTTGATGTAAAAATCAAGTCTGGTCAATAAAACAAAACACACTTCTCCATCTAGTTTGCCAATCCCATCTTACATGAGTATCACAAGGCCGTCATGACAAATACAAAAATCATACAAAAAACAGTTCAGAAACAAATTCCGTTCTTGTTTATCCAAAATAAAAATGTTGGCTTTCCTCAGAGATTAATGTTGTCTGAGTGCCTCTCTAAACTGTTAAACGATCGTTTCCATTACTAGTTTGTGTGAAAATTGACATAATCCACAGAATGTAATTGTACAATTTTATAACAGTTTTATGAGCTTTTAATTTCAACTTTTTTGAAGCTTTTACACCCAATTTTTTACTTCTATTTATCAGTTCTTATTTGAAAATTTAATTATTTAAAATCTGTTTTAAATCTTACCAACTCGTAATTTTACTATCTACAGCAAACTTTTATATATCCAGTTTATTACCCTGTTTTTAATTTCAATTTGTATTCAATAATCAGATAATATCTGTATAAAAAATAAGGAATCAAGACCCGAAATTCATATCAGCATCCAATAATAAAGCCTATATCAAAGAGTTTCTTGTGTGATATAAGTTACTGAAAAAAAACCAAAATTAAACTGAATCAGCTAAGAATATCTGTTAAGTCATTGTCTCTATAAGGAACAAGTGTGAGAATCTGGAGAGAAAACACAAGAGTCTTTCCTTAGATTTGAAAGATTTTTTTAGAATTTATTTAATCATTTGTGGGATTAAATAATTAACTTTTTGGAAAATAATATTTTTTTTGAACAAACGAAACGTACAAATTTACATTTTCATGGGAAATTGATAGAGAAAGAGAAATAAAATTTCCTTCTAGTTTATCAACTTCCTATGGTGAGATTTATTGGGCTTGGCAATGAGACATCTGCAAGTGCAACTCATCTGTTGCATCTCGTCACATGAAAAACTTTAACACAGGATTGGAGAGGATTTAGGGATAAAAAGGGCAAACAGCCCAGTTTCAGGACTCTCAACAAAAACTCCAGATATCAGCCTCCTGGGAAGATCCTTGAATTGTTACTCAGACGCCAAATCGACTAGATCCAAAGACACGTCTGTCTACCAGAGGTATTATACACTACTCATTGTAAACTCTCTCTCTCAGGTTACGAGAGGTATAATTAGTTAGCTATTCAATAGATTTGTTCTTTAACATTGGAGTCCAAAAATCCAATATTATGATACTTTGTATATCTATAATCTTCAATTTACCCATTAAATTTTTGTTATTTGTTAACTTAACTTTAATTTGAATTTATTTTGGATGGTTGGTCGTCCTTAAAGACAAGTCCACGACCCTTCCCACTCGAAAGAGTAGTTATATGTACCCTCGAAACACGAGTTAGGATGCAAAAATTATTTTAACTGGTGTCAAGAGAAAAGTCAGTAGAATTTTTCGATCTTCTGAGAAACTACAAGTGAAACCCATCCACCGACAAAGTGAATGGGCTTCACAAGCCCAACGCCGTGACAAAGGGGCTGAGAGCAATTTACTTGAACCTGCAGATTCTCACATATTGGTTTTTCAGGAGTGGTCTTTTCAATAAGGCAGAATGGCTAAATTTAGTTTTTTCAAGAGAATTGGTTTATTTTTTTGATGTTTCCTTCAAATCTTTTGAATTAAATGGTTTGTTTTGATTTATCAATAGATAGAAGTAGGCAATAAGTCTAGAGAGTAAAATTAAGTTAAAGTTAAGCAGAATTAGAATATAATGAAAAGCAAAAATCCTTTTTGTTCTCATGAAATTAAATATGCAACACTTAACATTATTCTTAGGTAACCTTAGTCAGGAATTGGCAGTTTTCAATATGGGAGAAACTCTTATAAGTGATAACTATTAATTAAACCAACTGATGGCTGTCGACAGTTCTCATCTCCCAGAATTGACTCATATATTAAAGACAACCCCAAAAGTAACAGGTAGCAGCTTTGTCTCTGGCCATAAAATTACTTATGGCCATAATACATTCTGGGATCCAGACGCTACTCGGTAAATCTGATACCCAGTCCCCATTGCTGGAATTATCCACCAATGGTTGGTTTTCCTGGCTACGTAAATTCTTCTTAAGCACTGATGCATCTTTTCCCACAGACTTAAACAAGGACATTTCATTTCAGGCAAGGTTCTGGTCCACTGCATGTTTGGGATGTCGCGATCTGCCACCCTGGTCTGTGCCTACTTGATGCTACGCCGGGGAATGACAGCTGAAGAAGCACTGACCACCGTGCGAAGTGCCAGAGGAGTCAGACCAAATGATGGCTTCCTCCACAGACTTTTGGAGCTGGAAGAAGAAATGAAACATCGACCCAAAAGCCTTCTTTTCTGCTAATTTGAAAGTTTCTCCAAATGCATTCTTCTGTCTCTCGCTGAGCCAAAATTAAACTGTAGAAATAAAGGTTATAGGGCTTTCTTTCTCCATTTTGTCTCCAGTAACTTATTTTGCAGTTGCTGCAAGTAAAGCATAAAGGCCTGTTTACCAGTTACCAGAAAAATTGTTACATCTGTTCTCATTCAGTTGCACCAAAAAGTTGTCAGCCAAATTAATTTGTAGATAAAATATTTTCTCCCAGCGG